CACTCAAACCATCCTGTCTCTTTGAAACGTCCCCAGAGGCCCTCATATTGAGGACGCGGACCCCGTGACCTTGGGTTTTTCCACACTATCAGTTTTACTAGTTCTCCTCAGTCATTGGTCAAATCCCACAGTGCCATGTTATCATAGAGAAAATCGGCCTGAATTCACCTTGAGAATAGAACCATTTCCTACTGGTTGAATTATTCGTTAGAAAGAGGGTTATTTGCTCTCCCCCAGTTACTCCCACGAGGAATGCAGATACGTCTATCATTTGTAATTAGTCATTGATTTCTCAGAAGTGACGACCATTTTACATACTGGCCTTTGTGTGTCTCTCTCTTTCTCTCCAGGCCATCACTTTAGCGAGTACAACCTTCATCCTGACATCCATGAGTTTTGACAGGTATATGGCCATCTGCAAACCGCTCAAGTACCGTGCCACCACCACGAGGTAATGTCCAGAAAAACTTTTTTATTATAGATACTTAAGTATCACCAGTGATGAAAGTAATTTACGAATAATTTGGATCCCCATTCTTAAAAATGATTTTCTGCTGCTGCTGATACTGCTGCTGCTGCTGTTTTTGCTGTTGCTTCTGCTGCTGCTGCTGTTGATGATGATGATTATAATGATGATGGTGCTGATGATGATGAGGGGGGGAGGAGGAGGAGAAGGAGGATGTGGAGGAGGAGGAGGAGGAGGAGGAGGAGGAAGTGGAGGGGAATGAGTAGGAGGAAAATGATACTTAAGTACAAAACATATTTCCTAGGTTACTAATTCTTCTCTCCTTTACTTTGTCTCTCCCCAAAGGGCCAAGAAATTCATCGCTATCTCGTGGATCATGGCTTTTGTACTAGCCATACCGCAGCTGCTAATTTTTGTACAGACCCAGGAAAATAAAGATGGCCGCCTCCTCTACGTCTGCAAAACCACGGGCTACACGGCGTTGTGGCAACGCATGCTCTACCTGTCTTTCTTCACCGCCTACATCCTCGTCATCCCTGTCATCCTCATCTCCTTCTGTTACGTCAGCATCGTGCTCGTGGTTTCAAAAGCCAGCAAAGTGGTGCAAACTTCTCAGAACAACAACCATTCGCTACGACGTTCGAGTTTTGGCAGGAGCAAATCCACCTTCCCCCGCGCCAAAATTCGCACCGTCTGGTTGACATTCGCTATCATAGCCACGTTCATCATTTGCTACACGCCGTATTTCGTGACTACTTTAATCCGGGTCTACAGCAATTATAAAATTCACGTGCCTGAGTCGGTGATGGCTCTGGTGGAGACGATTACCTTCATCCAAAGCGCTTCCAACCCTCTCATCTACGGCTGTTTCAATGTGAAAATAAAGCGAGGCCTTGTGGAACTCTTTTGCCCTTACGCCGAGCAGCCGATCCGGCGCTCTCCGAGCTACAGGTCTCCAGGATTGTGCATGTCCATGTCGGAAGGCCGTGCTCACCCTCGGGCTCAATACGAGATGAAACTCTGTGCCAACGTCCGCCTGCGAGACCCTGCTTCCAACAATCTATCGCACTCGAGTAGCGGGAACTCTCGAGATGATCGTCTGCTGGGGCGAGGATCGAGCGCCATCACGGTTACGGAAGAAAATAAAAACGGAGTGCGCCTGCGCGTACGTTTTGCGACGAACAGGGACCATTGCAAGTGTCTGTCCACCGACGGTATCGACTCGTGCCACGCTGAAATGCTCAATCCGTTTGACATGCTACACCAGGGCCACGGGAGCCAGAAATTTCCTGTTCTAAGGCATCACTCTTTGCAGCAGCTGTACAAGTGATCGTTCAGAGGCTGAAATAGATTCTTGTGTTCATCGAACAGAATCGGGGTAGACGTGCGTCCAATTTTGCCACACTCACAATAATACATACATGTACACATTTGCAATGGCCGTATGTACTGGGTGCATTTGTCCGGGGCCGATGCCAGTTTAGCACTAGCCGAACTGATTTATGCGGAACCAGCATAATGTGTATTTACCTGGGTTCTGCAGAACCCACTTACCGTTAGAAGTGGATGATGTTATATTTTTATCGATAGTGTGGAACAGAAAAATAACACAAAATCATAACATTTCACACTGAAAAAATAGCGACGGATTGTTTTGGTCTCAATTATAGTTATAATATTATGCAGGAGACTCCTGAAGCACTTGAATCGTTCTTCCTTTCAACAAAGGAGTGTTAAATAAACGCGTATACCTCTTACCTCTATCTATTATTCGATATTATACGGCAACAGTATTACTACGACGGCGAAGGGTACGTCTAGGGGCCCATAGAGCAAGTGAATCCGAAAAGCATTTAGTTAAAACAACATCAGCGGTCTATTCTTGCTGAACAACGTTTGGAGAGTATACACTGACCCGTCCGGGTGTCTGCACTGAGTCTGTCATCTTGACCCGACGACACCAGCGTCCGTGGTGTTATGGTCAGGCTCCTCACTGCTGCACGTGAAAGATGTCAGTTTGATTCTCATGTGAGGAAGTCTGTTTTATTGGGTTTCTCCGTCTTTCTGTAAGGATGCTGTATCCCACTATGAAAGGGTTGACCAGGCAGAGAAAGAATAGTTCAGTGGTGGAGTAAAAGACCTACACCCAGTTTCCCAAATAATAAGGATACAAAATTAAATATGGATAAGTGCCTGCTCCACTTGGCCACCCACGAGAACACTGCCAACCTTCGAGATTGCTGTGGTGCAGGGATCCAAGGAACAGAGTAGAGGCTTTGGAAAGGCCCATGTTTGCCTAAACATTATTACGTGCTATGTGTTTGAACCATTAAATTATTGTGTATAGGCAAGATTGCTGCCTCAGCTGGAGAGTTGGGCGCTAAAATATCCAGCCTAACCTACAGCTACTCGAAGTATTTCTGCCGTTGATGCTCGCACTCTGGATACTTCCAAAGTAGTAGAGATTGTTTCAGAATGCTCTCCGGTCCGCTTGGGTCATGATATAGATTGTAAAGCGCAAAAAGCATGCTGTTGAGCGGGGATTTGCGCTACACAAATTCTATAATTTATTCATTTTAGTATATTCAATGTCATGTGCATACACGCCCAACACTGACAATATCATACATATTTGATTGAAGCTGTTGATGATAGACCAACAATAATCGATAATAAAATATGTCGACTTATCAACAATAAAGCGAATGCCTTAATTTTGCTTCGCTCATATTCTCGACACAACGGTGCAAAAAGAGTCACTACTGCACAGAAGTAAGAAAAGCGGTATTGGATGGATTTCTACCTACATTGTCCACTTACACCAATAATATTATGTTCCCGAGAACAAATAGATATATTCGAATTCTGCTCAATGCATTACGGGATATATACAAAACATTTCCAGCAACGAGAAGGACATCGACACGACAACGGCCTTATACTGTATTGAAGGGAGAATAGAAAAATACACCAACTGTAGAAATTGCGGGAAAGAAAAGAAGTAGGACACATGAGCGGAGCGCTCAAACCACCCATACAACACCACTTTGATAATGATAATATTATTTATAATGATGTGCAGCCGATTTCGTTTTCCGTTTCTTCTTTTGCACTCTCTGACCATTTCCCGTCTCTGCGGTTAGCTGTTGCCTCGTATTCTGTGATCTGAAGAATTGTTATAATGACTATTTTAAACTGAATTTTCTGCAATTGTGCAAATGTTTTGTGTTCAAAAATATATTTAAAAAGCGATGTTTCAATTGTTTTCTGTTTTAAAAAAACAACATAAGCTCGGTTTGATACGAATGTGCTTGTAAACTTTTGTGATTATGGCTTATTTCCTGAATACACTTGGATGAAATATTCTGCTTTGATTTTCTTTGTTCTCGTGCCCTACCTCGTATTATAAACGTGTAGTGTTTATGGTGCCATGTGTGACGTTGTACAAAACTCATTGTCATCGCATCAGGCTCGTTTTTTTTCTGGAAAAAAATGACCCCCTTTCTCCCTCCCCCTCCCACTCACACACACACACACACACACACACACACACTGTGACACACACACAAACCCACCCACCCACACAAACGCACAAACTCACACTCTTCCTCCAAAACACAAAAACGAACATGAAGAAAGAAAAAAAAAGTGTTCCTAAATTCATGGATAGGCCTAGGTCAGTAGATCTAGATCTACATGATTCTATCTACTCTAACTATAATAATTCTTTTCTTTTTCTAACTTCAAAATTGGTTGGGACATTTGCGGAGTTGTGTGACACGATAGAAGGAAGTGGTACAATGTATTGGAACTGAAAAAAAAAAGTTTGTCTTCTCGCTGCAGCATGCGCTAGTCATGAGTTCGATTTCCGCCTGAGGAAATCAAATCTGTCTTATCAAGAACGTCCGTCTCTCTAGTGGGATGTTGTATCCCACTCATTGATCTGCCAAGCCTGACTCCAACAGACAATCCTGAATGATACAAATTGTGCAGATAAGGATGGAAAACATTTACAGTAATTACAACTAGGCATTCAAAGTAAGATAAAACTTTGTTGTCTTGAAGCTGGCACATTGGTTTGGTGTTTCATAACACATATATACACACGCAGCGCGCTCCCATACTATCTCTCTCTCTCTCCCTCCCTCCATACACAAACACACACACACACACACGCACACACATTCTTCCACATTGTAGTACTTGAGAACGTCAGAATTGTGAATTTTCGAGAAAAAAACAACAAACTAAAACCATAAAACAAAGCCGCCCACTACTTTTTGGCGACATCGACACAATTAGATTATAGATAGCCGATTACCAAAACCAATACCGTCCAAAAATGTAAGTCCCCTCTGAGTTTAACTAGGCTCACAGAATTCTACACTTAGAAGTGCAGAATTCTGTGACTAGGCTTGAAACCATCATAATCAATTAGAAGAACCTGGTGCAGATTTTTAGCATAGTCATATGTCATACTCTCGTATTATTAGGTTACCATGCTACAGAATGTCTTTGATTGTCTTATAATTTAGTTCTTTGCAAGCGACTCTAATAGATTGCCGAGCATGAAGCGAGCCTTCATCTATCTCTGATATCGGCTCATAAAAATTCCTCCACGGCCAACTTGAGTATTAAAACACACTAGCTTTGTGTCAGTCACGGTGATTAAGACAGGATAGGAACAGCCAATCCACATTCCTTCTGTCGTGCTACAACTCACCACTTATCCTGGAATAATTTTAATACAAGACGTAAAAATCTCGCATATTAGAACAACAGTTTTATTTTTATAATATGGCATGAAAACATCTCACATCAATTGACCCAACTGGAAAATAGTTTCGAGAGACTGAATTTTATAGAAATTGTACGGAGTAATTTATCAAGGGGACTGACTGTAACCAGAGACATAGCAATGTTAGGTCTCTGCTGTAGCCGTTAGATGGAATCGGCAATCTAATTGTATCGATATTGTCAACTTTGATAGTTGTTTTTTTTAAGCGGACGGCTCTGATAGCTTCCCTTCAACATACATCCGTACACCACACGATAATGCACCAACAAACTGACCCACAGTTACACACATATAATGTAAACTATTATTATTAACAATAATACCATTTAGATATAAGCTTGATGCATGATCATTACTTTGATAGTAAACCGATAGTGTTCAGCATACAAGCTTTAAAGATCCTAGAAATATTTAAATTAGTAGTTACAGGATGCTTAAGATGGTAGCAGTTTAATGGATGACCTTCTATAATTATTTTTTAATGCATTTTTACGGCCCCATCGACACAATTCAAACTATTTAAGTGGCGGGCTTTCGACTCTGCCGGTCGGGGCCAATTCAGGCTTAGTGGGGTACGACATCCCAGCAGAAAGACCGTGATACTCGATAAACATTCTGTCTCCACACTCAGGAATCGAACTCGGGTCTCCTGTGTGAGGCAGCGAAGCGCCTAGCCACAGACACCAGTCGGATATTGATCACAATCTCTATGGTAGAATATGGACATGACGATTTATCATCTTTAAATAGCATTAAGTTTCTCGGGAAAAAAGTATCTAATTCACTTTTTAAGCTGGCGAGAAATGTGAACAGGTCAGTCAAGTTTGTTGTCTATGGGAGCTACCAAATTCTATACACGTAATCTGACACTTGCTCCACGTTCTCATTTTTAATTTGGAATGGCTACATGAACAATTTCTTCCTTTTTTCTTTTTAAGTCCACACGTTTTTATTCACATTTAAAAGCAGTTTATCATGCATTCCACATTCACACTGATAAAAGAGGTTTGATATCAAATTTCGATAAGTAGTTTCATCATAGCGTCAGCCTGAATGAGTCCTAGTTTTGTTGGATCGTTAAAACACATACATACATACATACATACATACATACATACATACATACATACATACATACATACTACATACATACATACATACATACATACATACATACACACATACTACATACATACATACATACACACGTGTTTGGGTGCGTGTGTGTGTGCACCAGTGTAAGTTTTTGTATCCACCATGGTCTTAGATATTATTATTAATAAGCCCAATGGGATAGCACATAACTAAATCCTAAAATGAAATACACACACTCTTTTTGATCAATCTTTTTTATTTATTAATTTGTTCATATAAAAAGTAACACGAAAGAAAAAAAAGTACAAACACTTGTACTACAACAAACGGAATACGTCAAGCATTATAGAATCCAACATATGGGAGAGTCATCACAAACAAAAGAATCTGGACACTGTATCACTACCCTAACCATATATTATGTATTTTAGTTTTAGTAAGAGTTTTACGGCACTTGCAACACATGTAAAAAACACAAACAAGAAGGAGAGATCAGGACGATAGTTGTTTCATAGGAAAGAAGAAGCAAACCACACCAGAGCATCCGCCAACCACCCACATATATGTGTAAAAATAAAGAAATAAAAAAACCTTGATCTACAAGCATTACTATTACTATAATGAAGAGGAGATGTATGGGGTTGGAAAAATCAACAACACCTCGTCACGGCAATCATAACCTATACCCAAAACAGAGGTTGGAGTACAGGGAATTATTAAGCCTTCAGAAATTCTAATGAACGTATAAAACTTTCACCACCTCCCTCCTCCAATCTAAATATATAGATCTAAATAATTACAAAGCAAACTGCTCTGACTTTGCCTACCAGTACCAGGGCCAACCTGTGCTGAGTGGGATACAGTACCCAAGCAGATGGCAGAAACTCATTTAATTTAATAATAAATAGATGAAGCAAATTTAACTCCTTTTTATTTACAGTCCATTACCTGGAAGCCTAACCGAACCATCATACTGGCAAATCCTTACTGCACAAAAAAGGTTTATGATGAATCAGAAAAGAAGAAATTCCAACATTAACTGTGAATCACAAATGTTCTGTGCAATCACAGTTACAAATAAGTTAGCAAATGGAAAACAATGCTCTTCAGAATCTTGACCGTTAATTTAAGGATCATTTTTTCGCAAATTCTGGACTGCTTGACTTCTTTAAATCTTGATTGTTATGAATTTCCAAAAGCATTAGTCCTTGATGAAGGAGTCACACCCCACTCTAAGTAGCCATTTGATTGTCTTTTCATAAAACATCGGGACCTAGATAATTAAAAATGCTTGATTTTGGAGAACTTGATCAATGTGCCAAAATGTTATCTTTTGTCCCTCCAAAAACATGATCACCCTCAATTGTATCCAATGGAGGACAGGTGAAACTTTCTGTAATGTGCACTGAGTATAAAGCATCTCAAAGTGGTCCAGACATGTAGCGTAACCTTCCCCAATGTATCAACCTCCAGTTGCCAGCCCATCAAAAGAACAAAATAATGTTGCTTTTAAGATTAATTTTTAAAATATGTGATGCAGCGAGGTGGAATCAGGCTCTTGTCAATTTTTGGGCATGTAGAGTTATTGGTATCATCTTGAAGCTTGTTCACTTATCTTTATTTGAATGAAAAAAATATCCATTTATCTTGAATACAAG